AGCATGAGGCACTTTACGAGGTGCGTGGGGCCGCGGAAGGCAAAGTCCGCAAACATCGGGCTCGGGAGAAGCAGCAGAATTGGCGCCACTAAGTGCAGCAGTGCAGGTTTAAAATCCTCGTTGCTGTGCGCGCCACGAGGTGTTTGGCCTCGCCCAAGCAGCCGCGCATTCCTTCTGCTGCCGAAGCGTTTTAAGCTCTTGCTTCGTGTACTGGACCTTTTTGGCCGTCGCCGGCAAACTCGGGAGCGCCGTAAGAGCACGCTGCGCGCTCGAGCCGTAGAGCTTGGCATCGAGGTACGCGTCCGTGAGACTCGGCACCACATAAAAAGTCCGTCGACGTGGTCGTGCACCGTCGGCACCATCTCATCATACATCGCAGCCGGCGGCGCGAGATCGACACGAGCCAGGCCTTGAGGCGCGTCCACTCGCTCGCAAAGGCGTCCTTGGCCGCGCCGTGCACGACACGCGCTTGGTGCGAGAGCGCGAGAAGGCTCCAAAGAGTGCAACAATTTCGGTCTCGTGCGTCTCGGTCGAACGACGCGCCGGCAAGATCGTGCGCAGGTGCAGATACCTGCGTGCGACGGCTCATTGTAGAGAACCGCGTCGGTGTTCTTCGTCGTGCGGTTGGTCAGCGGCAGAGGCGACTGCTCAAAGCCCTATAAAGGCTGTATGGAGCTGGTCCGGAACGAGCGCGCGCATGCTTCTTACTGGGATAAGCACGACATGGAGGATGAAATCCACCTACAGCGGCAGACGAGAAACCTCGTTCGAGTCAGAAGCCTAGTCATTCTGTGAGACTCGAGTGGCGTCAAACACGCGTGGTACCTTGTGCCAAACGCAAACCAGCGGCGCGTCGACATCTGGAAGAACGAGGTCCGGCGAAGCACGCCGTAGACCATGGATACTGTTGTTGACCGCCCGACAAGCTCCAATCGTTGGTAGCTCGAGCAAGAGGTTCGCGGTGGGCGAGAGGTTCGTGATGTCGTCGCGGCCGTCTCGGTGCTGGCCGCCGTGTGCAAGCAGCAAGACGTCGAGTGTGAGGCGCTCGAGACGAGCGCCATTTGGCTCTGCGCCGCGAGATGACGCGCACTCCGAACGCGACGCCGCGCGTGCAGCGCCCACTGCTGCGGCATCGGCGTAGCTCGTCGTAGCGGCGGCCATTTTGGAATTGTCCTTGCGATTGGTATCCGGCTATTTATCCGGATGCCCGAGAACGCCACGGGCGCGACAAAGGTCGAGGCCTTCGTCCGCACTCCTCGCACAAACTCCCGAGGTTGTCGCTGTCAGCATCTGTCTATTAGACTACATACCTCACAGCGCGTAGACGCCCAACGTAAAAGCAATGGCCTTTTCACCGCTTCGGCGGCGATGTCTGCGACCAGCGCTGCATCGACGCCAGCAACCCAGCAACCGCGACCCAATACGGATACGGCAAGCCTCTTGCACGCATGTATGCACCAACGCCAAGGCAGTACACGTAGTGCCAACGCTCGATGGCTGCGACGCTGCTCAACTCGGTACTGATACCGTCATTATCGATCCTTGACGACGCAGACCCAAGCAAATTCATATGCTGTATAAAGGAATAAAGGACGCAGCGATCTTTGATATTATAATACCTGTTGAGCCAACTTCTTGTATTGCAGGGATGCGTGGAGAAAGAAGGACCTCGGCCACTCGAGTTTCACCGTCCACGGTCGACAGAACGCCCGCTCGCAACCGCCCTGCTGCAGTGCCGTGTGGTCGTGGCCCTGTAGCGCAAATTGCGCAATGAGTAGCGCTCTGTGTTGCTGTAATTCACGTGTAAAGCACTGCGTTTCGCCTTTGTCGTGCTCGCCTTTACATTTGTTTTTACACGACTGAACGCTTGCGCCAAAATGAGACATTCTCCGAGTGCCACGTCATAGCAATCGACATTTTGCGACCTCTCGCATGGAGGACGCATAAATACCATCACATGCGTTGTGAAAAGAGATCACTGCGAGTGCGGAAGCCCGAGCATTGCGAGCTGCAAGCCACTCGTTCCAACCGCTTCACTGGATGCGATGGCGCTGGACGTAGTAACTCCATGCACGTTGCTAGGAATCGCAACCTTGATCCAGTGCAAGAGGAGATCGTCGCTACAAGTGCAAAAGACGAAGACTGCGGTATGCCAATGCGGTCATTGGACGTTCGGGCTTCTATGCTTTCCGGAAGGTCCTTCCGCAGCGCATAATGACGTGGCACCCGCATTGGTCGCATAGACTGTGCGTGGCAGCGTGCAAGGGCCGCTGCCGAGACCTTTGGCCAAGGGTTTTATTCCCTCGCCTTTGGCCGAGAAGCAAGTATACCAGCCGATTCGTACACGATGGCGCGGTATCATCTTCTAGGAACCAGTCGAAGAGCTTCGAGTGTACGTAGTATTACCTAGCATCCAAGCGCCTCTGCAAAGGTGAGCAAACACATATATCAAGAGAACACTATTTTCATCAGCACAGGTTCAAACGCTGCTGCAAAATGTCGCGCAGCCCGTACATGTACTGCCGCCTTGACAAATGTCGTCTGGAGTTGCGCCAAGAATAGCTGGAGCGCGACGCCACTCATGATGGCCAAGATCTCAAGCCTCTAGAGACTTGGAGCCTGGGCGTACCTGAGGAAGCGGTCCATAGCGATCCGAAAATGGGCGCTGATGGTGATAGGTCTGGAGGCACGCGGGCGACGCCGGCTGCACACACTCGCCAAGACCGGCCGCAGAGATCTGGCGCACCACGGGCGTACTGCTTACTCGAGCGTGCTGGTACGTAGAAACGCTTCGAGGTCCTTGCCCGAGACATGCGCGAAATGGCTTGGACGTTGGACAAGGCCATCGGTGTCGAGGGAAAGGGCAGCACTGAAGCACCTCCGCGACCTGACCTTGAGCCCACTTCCTGGATTGAGCTTCTTCTTGGGCAAGGACGGAATGACCTCGGCAAGACAAAGGCAGACGCCCGAAAACATGCTGGCTCATCGGATTGCAGCCCACCCGCTGGATCGGAACGACCTTGGGCATGACGCATTCGCCAACGATTGTGCCAAGCGTGCGACGGTCTCCTTCTCGACGTGCTTGCCCAAGAACTCTTGTATGATGAGCATGAGCGGCTCGAGGATCGAGCGCAGCGTCGTGGGGTGTTGAAGATGACGCGCTTCCACATCTCGAGCGCTTCTGACTCACGACGGTAGTCGAGGATCTTGAGCGTCGGCTCCATCGTCGTTGCTATCGGTGGCTAACGTGACAACCACATTAGTGCTGCAAACGCAGTACACCAAACCGCCGAGGAGCGAGATCGACGAGTGACACATGCGCCACGCGTCAAAATTAGCTGCCTCAAGCGACGCCAAGAGGTCCTTCGCGATGGAGAGCGCGCGGGCGTTGGCAGCGATCAAGCCGGCGTGCATGGCGACGTCGCAGACAATGTCCGACTCGTCGAAGATACCAGCAACAATCATCGGGAGCGCCTTGCCAAAATACTTTAAGAAATTGTTGCGGAGCGCCGGCCGGTTGAAGGCGCAACCAGACAACATCTTAGAGGTCAACGAGTGCAGAGTGCGCAGACGCTGAGGTGCATGTCGTCAACGCCAAACGAGAGACAAAGCGCATGGCAGCTCGCGCGGGGGCATCGCCGCCTTGGCGCCGTCTCCATACACGACAAGACCATCGACAGACGCCGCATAGCGCGCACGACTGGAGACCGAGTTTGGCCTCCGCGTTACCGGCACGTGCGACAAGAAAGCCGACTGCACGCCCTGGAGCGTCGACGCCATCGTGTCTGAAAACGGCTTGATGCTCTTGGCCAACGTGGCCGCGTCGACAACGTAGGCACGCATCGCTTGCAAGCTCGTACGACGAGCCTCCTCAAGCGTCAAGAGGAAGTCTCGTCCCACGACACGGATGCGCGGCACGAACCAGAGGATCGGACCACCGTGGGCAGCGTCGATGCGTCACCGAGTGGTTCTCAACTCGACTTTGCCCTCCGATTCGACGTCCGAGCAACGCCGTTGGTCGAGAGCAAGGCAAAGAGGCGCTCAAAGAGCGGCATGCTTTCATTGAGCGAGCTGGCCGACTCGGACGAGATACCGGGCGCAGTCTGCAAGGCTGAGATGCGTGGACGTGACGCACTTGTCGAGGTGCGTGGGGCAGCAGAAACGCCATCCGCACACATCGAGCTCGGCAGCAGCGCTAGGATCGACGCCACGCGGCAGTGCAGGCTGGAAAAGCTCTGCCGAGTGCGCATCCGAAACGCTAGGTGCTCGGCCTCGCGCACGCAGTTGGTTCTGCTGCTAGCGAATCTTGAGGTCTTTCTGGGCGCATGTGACTATTTTCTTCGTCGCATTCGCTCGGCGGCGAGCAAGCGCTCGTCCTCGGCCTTGGCAACTTTGTAGCGTTGTCCGAGACATTGGCGCCTGGACGACGTGGCTCCAACCTGGCGCACGCTCTTGCCGGCGAACGTGCGATTTCGTGGCGCGAGGGCATCTTTGCGAGCAAACGAAACCTCCAAGCTCGTCACGCTGCTCTTCAAGGGGTCGATGCGCACAGCGAGTGGGCGATGAATGAGCTCGAAACGGCGCCGGAAGAGCGCACGCGTCTCGGCCTCCGGCAAAAGATGCGCCGGCGTCCTCAGCCTTGCGCTTGGTCGATGACGGCGTCAGCGTCGGAAACGCTATCGCTCCGAAAAGTCGTCCAGAGCTTCGCACGCGCGCAGTGGCCCGAACCTCGTTCGATACAGCCACCTGGATCCTCTGTGAGACACAAGTGGCAAAAAGGAAGTGTACCTCGTGTCAGACCGTCTGACACGAGGTACACTTTCCTGCTTGATCGCGTCTGACTCAGACGCGATCAAGCGGCGCGTCGATGCCACAATGATCAAGGTCAACGACACGCTTGCGTTGTTGACGCCGCGGCCTCAGGCGCACGCGGCGAATTCTGGCGAGTGTCAAGCGTGCGGGTCGTCGCCGAGCACGGCATCTACCAGACACCAGCCGCTGCAGTGCAAGGGTATGCGCCGGTGCGAGTGTCGTCGTCTCGTCGAGGAGCAAATTTCGTTCCGACGTCGAACGGTCTCACGTGCCTCGGTGGCACAAGCGGCACGCGTGGCAGCGGAGGAGAATGCAGCGTCGGCGGTGCATTGTAGAGGACTACGTCGATGTCTTCTGCCGCGAGCCAGGTCGACCACGGCATCAGCGTCAGAAGCATCCACTGCGTCGAGAACGTCGTCCATACCTAATCCACAACGAGCGCGCGCACTTGCTTCGGACGCGGGTCGCGCACGCTCGCAACGAATTAGAAGACCCACAAGCAGCTGCAAAAATTGTGCGATTTAGGCGCTAGTCACATTGTGAGACAAATGCCGCATCAATGTGGGGAATTTGCAAAATCAGCCCCCTTTCGACCCATGGTTTGCAAAATCAGTTTTCGTTTGCAAAATCAGCCCCCATTTTGAATTAGGGGGCTGATTTCTTGCTCAAATTCCACTATTTAGTACCTGCGGTGCAATTGAAAACTGGCCAATTGTCCATTGTACACAAACACACTGCCAAGTCGGTGTAATTAGATTTACGCAAGAACAGTAAAGCTGCATATTTAGAGGGCGTCATGATACCCCAGGGTCGGCGCGGCCCTGCGGGCCTACCCGCCTCCACCTGGGGTTCCGATCTACAATGATATCCCTGTTAGTGTTGAGACTGGGGCTCGCTCCTCGCCAAGGCACGGCCAGCACAAAAGTCAACACCCTACCTCCGCTGCGCTGCGGTGGGCAGACTTTTCTGGGCCGATGCTCTGTCGTCGCTCGCTGCGTAACATACTTTTTAAGGGAATTTTCAGCTTGGTCCCTTTTTGTCACGCATGGGGGCTGATTTTGCAAACCATGGGTCGAAAGGGGGCTGATTTTGCAAATTCCCCCATCAATGTAGTGTGGTACCTTGTGCCAGACTCGAAAGTGCGCTGCGCCGACGCCGTCAAGATCGAGGCCCATGCCAAGCTCGGGTCTGCGCCGTGGACCTTGGGTGCGCGCGGCCAAAGCTGATGGCTGCCGAGGGCTATGAGCTCGACTCGTTGGCAGTTCGAGCACAGACCGGATCGCAGGCGACGTCGAGCGAGAGGTTCGCCGCGAGCAATATGTTGGCGTAGCGCTGCCAGCAGTCTCGACTCGATGCAGTGTACAAGCAAGAGGACGTCATGCGTAAGGTGCTCGAGCTAGAGCCATCGGAATCAGCGCCGAGAGATAGCGCGCGCGCTGACGACTTGCGTGAGCGGCCGTCGAGAATTTGGCCAGGGCTCCGCCCAAGGGCCGACTCGGTGGCTCGTCACGCATGGATAGGCTGCGCCATACCTATTGCGATGTCGCGTCAGTGCCTTGGCCTAGTAATGCCTGCGCACGGCCCGCCACGTACCGGGTACCACATGCCTGGGCTGGTGGCACTACCGAGAACTGCGGCAAGAATACTGGCGATTGGCTCAAAAGTGGAATCCTTGCCGCTCTGATTGGCCATAAATCGAACGTCTTGTCGCTCTGATTGGCTCAAACGCTTTGGCCCGGCGTTGACGACAGACCGACGAGAAACGCTGCATTGGACGCGGATCGATGTTTGAAAGTGAAATCGCCCATACTTGCCAGAGTACTAGACCACACTTCGAGGCGTCCAAAATACTATGTGACGTCGCCGTGCGAGCTCTGTAGCGATCGCAAATGACAGCGGCAAACACTATCTTGATATAGTGTGATTATTCGCTATACCGAAATACTGTACGGGATACAAGGCCTCATCACGCAGCGGTACTGCGCGCACGTTGCCTCTCTCGGCCACATGCAACACGCTCTCTAACAAAAACCAAAAGAGACAGCCTCCTCAGTTTCCGCGACTTCGACGCATTTTCAACCGAAATTACATATCGTATTTCGTGAAAACCGACGCTCGGTAGTTCGAGTTTGGTGTGAGTGCCCAAGCAACGACGGCGCCCAACAAACTGGTCGCAGCCTGGGTCGAGACCCATCGCCAACTGTGGCAGCCAGTCGCGCGATCATTGGAGCTTCGGAACCCTGCGATGTCACGTGAACTACTTGGGCAATTCTGCCACCACCTCGAAAAATGGAAAATGGATTCGCTCGTGATTGCGCTACGTGCAGAGTCAAAAACGACATTGACGTCATTCAAAAAGCGCGTGGAGAGGTATACCTGGCTTCTACGCGGCGCTGGCGCGTCTGTGGCCTGCTACTCGTCGTTGTGCTGAATAGTGCTCATACTATTTGAGACGAGGTCGTGAACCAAGTCTTGTGATTGGCTAGAAAGAATTGAGAATTTAGCCAATCAAAACATCCATTCCAGATCGCGTTCCAACCGAGCCGGGCTGCGGATCCGCAAGCACAAGGAGTGGTGTGGACGCGCGCGAACATCGGGAAGGTCTGCGGGACGAGCGGCTGCACGATGAGGTAGAAAGCGCTGCCCTCCACGAGAAGCGCAAGCGGAACCTGGACGGCCGCATCGAGGCTCTGAAGAAGACCAAGCCGACGCCGCCGGTCATCGACCTCTTTGCGCCCGACGAGACCGCACCGCCGCTAGTCACCAGCATCAAGAAGTACACATACGAAGGCATCGCGATCCGCGGCGCTGAGCCCGGCCCACTGCCAGATAGGCCGACGCAAGCCACCCTCACCACCCTGCCCTCCAGGAGAGCCAAGACGACAACGACGCCTCCGAGGCGCCACGTGCAGCAAACTCCGACACCATGGCTGCGATCGTGGGCCGATCCAAGGCGGTCATGGCCGCCGCCAACGATACGCGGGAAGCTGATGCTCTCTACTTTGCCGGTAACTCGACGCACACGGAGCTCAAGAAGACGAAGAAAGCCAAGTCATCGTCGTCTTCCTCCAGTCGCCTCGAGCAGCTTCGACGCGAGCGCGCCGTGCGCGAGTCCGTCGGGCAGCGCCGACTCGAGACGCTCCTCCGGCGCTAACGCAGAGCATAAAAGCAAACGTTCCGCCGTATCCGGAGGATATGGGTCCAAATATAGATTGCGAAAGCGCGCGCAGTCTCGAAAACGGCTGAGCATTGCAAAGGCGCCTTTGAGCAGCATGTCGCCACAAGGCAGGCAGACCAAGCGCGGAAGGAAGTACAAGAGGCAAAGAGGAAGCGCGAGAGCCAAATGATGGCAAGGAACGCCGAATGTGCGCAGCACGCCTCGGCAACGCAGCCGCATGCCGCCGTCTTACCTGCAGGCTCGGACCTTCCCCGCGACGAGGAAGGCGTGGAAGGCGCTCCTAAAGAACTAGGCGACCCCATGGACCCCATCGATGACAACCAAGGTAGATGCGTCTTGATGTATCAAGATGCCAAAGCATTCGCAGGCTACCAGCGCAAGAAATGCAATAGATGGGAGATAGCACGGTAATGGGCGCGTATTGTACGGTAGCCGCCCGCAAGGAGGCTTGGCGCGGTCGACGTGCTCCAAGGAAGAATCGATTATTCCCGAGGACGTGCGGCACGACGATCCTATACGGTGGCCCGCATCCAAACTCGACATCAGTGGAGCAACTCGTGCGTTACGAGGCGAGTCTGTGCCCATGCATGTCCTGGGTGGCAAGTGATCATTAGATCGCGTCAGGCGTGAGGAAGACGATGTCTACACAGAGAACTCCGTATATGACACTATGGCACACGTTGTGGGAGTTTCATCATATCAGTAGAGAGTGTCAACAACGTTTTTAGGAGGAGCAGGCATAGGCCAGTCAAACCTCAACGTAGTTTCGATTTGGCTGCGGCCTGCTAAGTCTCGACCCGCCTCGCCACATCCCATTACAGTCGAGGGAATCCACCTCCTTTTGCCCCCTTTTCTGGTAACAAGCACGACTCCTGAAACGTAGAGCCGCGTGTGGGGCATGTGGAGAAAATAGCCAACTGTCAACTATCGATACGTCAAAGCAAGGTCTTGGTCGCTCGTATGGGTCTTGGTGACGCTTTGGTTCCTTTTGTAAGCGCATGTGATGTGTTTCGGCAATTCCCATCGACACGAGTACAATTTACTCGTGTCTCTCTCACTAAATGAGAGCGACCTGCGAGAGCAATCGAGTTGCCGCACTACTTTTGTCTCCAATCAGAAGTCTCAATGGTCCGCTCGCCTTTGTCCATTGACCTATCACATCGTGCGATTTTAGTTTGAACTCAATGGGTGTAGACACGACACACACACACGAGCAAAGGCGCGGGAAAGATCGTATCTTTCGCCCCAGTGGTTTCATGCAACTTTTCACGAACGGTCTTGAATCTCATTGGTGCAGATAAGGCATCGCAAGTTGTGATTGGCTACAAAATTTTGGCCGGGCGAGCGCCCGTTCAAATCTCCCGCCAACAATGACGCCACACATGGTCACATCTCGATTTCCCCACCAACGATGAAGACCCG